ACAACAAAGAACATGGTGCGGAATTTTTGGAATTTTCACAATCATTCTCTAGCGTTAAATGTACATTGTTGCAAGACTTATGGACCAGCCTAATAGATGTGAAAATCAGTATTTTACCTTCGGAATGAGCTCCGTATCGTGCCACGTGAAAATGAATGCGAAAGTCTCGTGTTATGCATGAAGCATGCCCTGTTTTCAGAACAACAACTCGGGGAAAGCTCTACTCGCTCGATGATACTTCAAGAAGAAATGGACTACTATAGTCGGTAAGAAAAAATTCGTTGACAGAATTCTACCCAGATCATCTCAAAATGAGCTCAAATAATTCAGGAGACCTCGCCTCGGACGATTCGAGCCTGGCCACTTCACTACGCCTACACGGCTGAGGATCGAGTGCCGCTCAGAAGGAGGCGACAAGAACATGCTTGCCACAAATACCTCTGGCAGGATGTGGAAATTTGGAAAATGTAGGATGACATGTGTAAACTGGGGAGTGGCATTGTGAAGTGTCTCTACTAATCCAGCTTTGACCTTATGATTTCAAGCCGGAAGTAGTCCAATAGCCACTTGCGAATTAGACTCGAGATTTTGTGAGGTACCGGGTCACATGAGGTGCATGGACAATGTAGTCTGCGACATCGCGGATGACTGTCCGAACGGAAAGGACGAAGAATCATGTGGTAGGTCATCCTGATTTGCGTTCGGGCGAATCGCTGGAACACATCTCTTTCAGACGATCAGCCCCTGGGAGCTAGATGTGATTTTGATAACGAGAAGTCGTTCTGTGATGGGTGGACAATGTTAACGCTTGAGCAAGCAAAGCCTATCACCGAACATCTGCTTCAAGTCAAGCGACCAATGGGAAATGTTGGACCAATCCATACTTCCCCGGCCTGGAGGAGGTACATACCTTCTCATATTCATTTCAACAAGTGAATTTGAAAAATGTCATCTTCAGACTTTTTATTTGGCTTTCTATTCATTTCGTCTACTTTTTTCACTTTCAATTGAGATATTACGTAGATCGCTCATCCTATCACCGGCATTCAATGCATAGCGAGCGAAACGATTAAAGGACGAATTTACGATGGAAAAGCAACCCATTCCAAATTGAGGTAGAGATGGTGAGTAGTACCAGAAAGAAAGCGAAACCACGAAAAACGGCCCAGAACCGGAGAAATGGGACCCCTTCCTTGTCCGTTGATTTGAGCATTGATGGGACTCTCATCGCTTTGCCCTCTTCAACCCTACGCTCTCTCAGCTATCTAATCACTCGCCACCTATTGTACTACGGCGAGTGATCAGACGATCGGTGGGCGGAGATCGCCGAACTCGCCAACTTTGAGCCATGCTAGATCTCAGAGGTCAAATCTTTCGATGCCGATTGCGTGTCTGTCCGCACCCTCAAGAGATTCACCGCTCTCCCCACTAGGCGATTTCTCCCTTCTTCGACCTTCGTTCTTTCCGTGCAATCCTCCTTTAAAATAGAGTGTCCGATGAATAACCAGCAATTCCCACAATCACTGCATGGGTTTCAAACTCTGTCATTTCACCACCCTACTCAGTTTGCAAGAATGGTAAGAACGCTTGGCCTCTTCCAACTGGCGCTCTTGACTCTTAGAGTTCCGAAATAAACTGCGAAATTAAGGGTCGTGTCGGCATTTGGATTGGCCCGTCTATATCAACTTCTAGTGGAACCCGCCTACTTTGTGTAAAGCTTTATAATCCATAGGTAGCTATCATGGGATTTCTTTCGATGCGAATCACGCTTTTCAAGATGGGATTGCAGTGGACGTGAAATACGACAAACTTCGAATTATCGAGTCATGATGAAACCGTTGCCGTGTCTGGAGACGCCGAGTTAATCTCATTTCTCAAATTTAAATCCTGCTAGGAGACTAAAATAGTTCATCCTGGTGGCTGTCGTACTTCCACAACCGGGTTCGCACCACAAATGACCACGAAGGCTGGAAGTGAAGCTTCATTTGATGCAGTAGCAAGCAACACTTCCTTAAAGCAACAATTCCAGATTGAATTCGAGGACGAAAAGCGGGTCGATGATGAAATTGAGGATGGCAAATTAACTGCAAATGAAAAAAATGAACCTGGAGCATTAAGCTATAAGGAAGGTTTCCTCCCGATCCTCCTGTGAAACTAGGGAGGCGGATTGGGCAGACGGAGCTGTGCTGAAGTAAAACTGCTCCCGCCGCGCATTCTGCCTGTGCCAGCCACCGAAATGCGGCTGTAGTCGCATATGCAGCAATACAAACAAGGTCAAACGGCTCAGCCAAGTGAAACCAAACAAGCCGGAGGCATTCCTTGAAACGCGGAACAGTTTGCATGCAGTCACGCAATATCGCGGAGTCGACCACGTGGACTCTCTCGCTAGCAGGTGGCGGAGGAACGGAATAGGGCGGAAAAACAGCTTCGGCACAAATCCAAGTCTCTTCTAGCGGTTTACTGTGTGAGTTTCGTCGCGACATTATGCTCTTGACTATGCGCTCAGCGGCCAGTCGTGTCCATCAGTAGCGATAGTGCATTACCGCTGGCGGTTGCTTTGTAGGCGAGCCCTGGGTTAATACTCGCTCATAAGAGCGATTTCACAGTGATGGATCAGCTGCGGAGAACTGAAGTGGAAATAGAAGGAAGAGAAACCATCGAAAACGCTAAAGTAAGGGCCAGCTACCAGTTAGGTCGGATGTGGTGCCACGGAGAGGCAGAGCGATCAGAGAGGACAAACACGGGAGAGGTACTAATGAGCACGTTGGTCTCTCCATTAAATCGCGCTGTGTGAAGAGGATCGGAAGGGTGTCGATGGTGGCAATTCATAAAGATTACCGCCCTAACCGTGTTATGGACGACGAATGGCACGACCTCAGTAGGTACTTATCTACACTCTCACTCGACACCTCCGGTTCATACCTAGGAGCTAGATCTGACTGCTTCGAACTTTTGACTTCACATTTCTATGGCCTTCCATGTTCTCTACGTCATATGTTACTTAGGCAGGAATAATTGAGTTAATGCGAACATTTGGGGATTAAATAATTGTTGTTCGATGGATCATGCAAATGATATGGAGAAGTGCTAAATAAACGGTGCTTAATGAATACATTAAGCTTATGTATCGATTGTAAAACTGATATGTAAGATTTTTTACAAATACGTACTCAGGTAGCTTTCTGCTTTACTCATCTGAACTCAATTGGAATCGATCGCTGTCGACGAGGGACACCTTCTTCACGTCGCCGTTTTATCCTCCCATTTTTAACGACGATGGCAAATGCAGGGGGTGAGTCTGTACCGCGCCAGCAGAAACATCATTGGGAGCTCCAAACACCTGTGGAGCTTATTCCAGTGGAGGATTCTTACGCGATTCAATCTGCGAATCGACCGTGGAAATGCGTCACTGTCGGTTGTTCATCCGTCATGGGTGCAGAAAGCAGTTCCTTTGAGAATCCCCCTGGAAGAAGAAGGGAAGAGGTATGACGGTGTCGTAGCAAACCAGCTTGCAACTTATTTTCAACTTATTTTTTCTAGAATTGAACGATCTTGGCACCGCATCTCATTTGATATGGGAAAGCTGGTACGTTACTTTTTCTACATTCGAAAAAAGGAGCACAACTGCGTGGAATACTTGAAAGATGAAGCGATTTGTTGTGCAAGCCATTCCTTGATTCCGCTGCACGTTCAAGCTGCAACCGCAGTGTAACCTTGACTTATATCAAAAGAACGGGTGGATCGGATTGGGGTGTTATTCTACGGCTCGAGACGAGGAACATGTATGTACGAGATGGGCGTAGACATCGCGTAAGCTGCGAGCGGCTAAAAATGGCAGCGGTTGTAATGGCCATAATAGGGCGTTGGCCCCTAGCAATCGCTTTCAGTTTGCAACAGTGCCACGACTGCTGTGCTTAAGAGCCCCTCCTTGACAAAGATAAGCTCTCTTGGTCACGGCTTGTGCCTTCAGTGCTTGTAAGCCCTTTCCTATGAGTAAGGATATAGGGAGGTAACGGGAAGCTGTGTGTACAAGTCCACATTATTATACGCAGCAGAGAATGATGCCTAATGGGCGGGTATGATGCCGTAGATCTAGTTTCCCACTGGATCTGGAAACCGAAAAGTAGGGCAATTTGTGGCCAATCTTGAGAAACTAATGTCCATAGAGATAAGAGGGTTCAACGATGGTCTGGGTCTATTCCAGTTAGGGGGGCATCATGGTGCGGTGACTCCCAAAAAGCTACGGTAACTCTGAGCCAGGGGGAGTGTAGCCAGCCTAGGGGGGTGGGGGTGAGGGCAGTCACTTGACATGCGTGAGAAGCTGGAATGTTCGAGTTTACATTAGCTCGCCGAGAAACTGCATCATGATGCCCCCCCCCTAACTGGAATAGACCCGGGATTTGCACGGCTAACTTTAATAGCAAACAATCTTGGTTATGGCGGGACGACGGACTTTTGGCCTCGTCCTGGGCTGGCACGCGGAAAACTGCGCGGCGAGCTGCATGGCGAACCGGACGCCTCGTGCAATTTTGTAGTGAATTCTACACGTCAAAGCGTGTGATTGCGGATAAATCACAACGGATCTGCGAATTCGTATAAATTCAAACGCGGGGTGGAACTTTGAGGCAGTCGGTTGATGGTAAGAAACATTGGGTAGAAGAGTCGTAAGAAGCGAACAAATAGTGGCTCGTTGTAGTATCAGGGCGCACATATTGCTGGGAGAACGTTTCACGTTTTATGGGGGAAGTTGGTGAGCCAATTACAGTGCTCAAGGCTACACCCTAGGGAGAAGTTCTGGGTGAGGCAGTTTGGGTTCTCCATGGCATTTCTCCCCTCTTCTGGACTTAGTCCGAGTGGCCTCTTTCCAAATGTTCTTCCTAAAGACGTGAAGGGCGCGATCAGCAACGTAGTTGGCACTACATGACCTCACTGTCAGCAAAACTTTTGATTTCAGTGTTCCTAATTCGTTTTGATAAAAGTAGTGACACTCACATCGAGGCCCTCACTCATCCCCTTACTTCACTTCACGAAATCTCCTCACCGCAGCTTCAGATCTTGTGCGTGGAAAGTTTTCTTCAAATCGCAGGATCATGCGGATTCATCCGCAATCTAGCACACGTTCTGAACGTTTTAAATTCTACTGCAGAACCCGCGAAGCCTTGTCACGTCTGGATCGCCGCGCATCCCGCCATGCGACTAGCCGCGTGCCAGCCCGGACGAGCCAAAAGTCCTGCACCCGTTATGGCGATCTTTGAAAGGGCGGCGGACATCAGAGCGTTGCTGTTTTGAAGATTTTAGTTTTTTTTTTCAATATCGTGGAGACATTCTCTATTTCAGTTATTTCCGTTTGCCGTACAAATCGAAGCCAATTGGGTGATGTCGTCGTTATCAAATGGAAATTCGTATGTGGCCGTGGATGACATATCCTTGAGCGTAGAATGCTTTGACAAGGGTGATTTTTAGTCAGTTAAAGCCGAATTCCAATCGAATTTGAACACGGTCGATAACGAAATGTGGTGCGAATCTCGAATGGAAAATTGAAGAATGGGAAAAGAGGCAAAGAAAACGCCACAGGGTCTGAGAAAAGGCCGTCCCTCTGTTTCGTCTTCGAAAAGGGTGAAAGGGCCGGCGTTTTCGCAACGGAGCTTGTCGCAACATTATTACATGCATGCCTTATACGAAGTTACCTGAGCCCCTTCCTGTTCCTCCTAACACTAGATGTCCATGGTGAAGGGGCTCATGGAAGGACCACTGAAGACCATCCTCTACGCTGACGACATCGCCCTGATAGCGGATAGCAGAGAGGAACTTCAGGCCAAGGTGCAGAAATGGCAGAAGTCCTGGCAGAAGGTGGGCTCCGGCTGAATGTCAAGAAGACCAAGTTCCTGAGCTCCGAAGAGGGTGCAGAGCCGATCGTGGACGGCCATGGTGAGACC